AAGTGCGCGCGCGTCTGGGTTCCAGCGTCTCCGGGTGCGGAGGGCGCGCGAGTTGCGCCAAGCGTCTGGCTCCGCCTCCGAGCAGCTTTGCGGTTCCGGCTCAAGGGCCGATTCCCGGCAGGTGGGGGCGTCTGACCCGGCCCCTCGCTGTCCCGCTATGTCCGCTGAGTTTGCTCCTCGTGGCCAAAGCCAGGTGACGGCTGTCACCGCAGGGCAGACGGCGGAACACAGCTGAGACGGAGACTCTGGCAGCTGTGTGTGCCGTTGCTGTCTGGGGGCCTGGGCGTCATGGGGTCCCTCCCTGCTCCCCGAAGAGCCGTGCCTGCGAGGCAAAGACCTCAGTGGACGGGACTGTCCTGCCTTCTGGACCCTTCCCCCTCCGCCTCGTTATTGCCAGCCCAAGTCGTTGCTGCAGGACCTTTTGCTCCCACTTGTTGACATCGAGCAGATTCTTCGTGTTTGTTGAAATCGAGCAGAAGCCGCTTTTCTCTGGCAGACTTTTGGGGGGCAAAACAGACATCGGCCGTGCATGCACGCCCCGCGTTCGCGTTTCAGGGCGCCTGAGCGGACCCCACGGCCTATTCCCACAGGGGCACAGGGCCCCGCACCCCGACATCTTCCCGACCTCGGCGGTGAGCCCATTCCATCGCGTGTTTACTTCTCCCTCGGGCTGTGCGTCCCACAGTCGCCAACCGCTAATGAGGAGCGGAAGCAGGACCCAGCTCGCGTCCTGGGGGGTCTCCACCCTGAACCCCGCTAATGAACCCACCGCACAATGAAGAAAGAGCCGGACAGACACCGGCTCTTTGTGGGGCAGCTGCGAGCCCAACAGTGGCACATTGTTTGAGCCAGGACAGTCCCAGCGCTGGCGCATGGCTGACCGGTTCCCCAGGCAAGGTCAGCTGGGCCGGACGCCGGTACGGCGGCCTCCCTGGCTGCCCCGGGGACCACGGGGTCCACAACCAAGACATGGCAGAGTGGACAGAGCCCACTGGAGATGTAGGGCATCCCCACACCCCCCCCACCACGCCCCCCAACCTCTCCTAACCCCTCTCCTCACCCGCCAGCACTCACGTGATCTCCACTCACACCATCCCGCTGCCCAGCTGGGTCGGGGGAACCAACTTTCTCAGAGTAGCTCCCCACATTGCATCCCCCAGCAGCAAGAGGGGTGCGCTTGAGCGTCTCTGCCTCCTGGGCCAGAACTTGGGCGCGTGAATAGCTGCCAGTAGCTGCCTGGTGACCTCCAAGCGGATTAATTTTCGTTTTCTAGCAGAGTGTCGAATACCCTGAATGCTTTTATTTGCAGCCCGGATCTCTGCTTGGGCGAGGTGTCTCTGGGGTGTTATCTGTCCTCTGGTTGAATTTCCACGGTCGTGTTTCCAGGAGTTTTTAGAGTGTCCGCAGAAGACTCTTGGGCCAGATACGTGGCCTGGACGTGTTTCCTCCCGCCAGGCTGAGAGAGCCGAGCATAATCCTCGGAGCAGGTGCGTTCACCGAGCCACACCTGTGGGCCTCGTTTTGGGCAGAACGGGGGTTTCTTCCTCCTACTTTGTGACCCCAGAGTGTTCCCCTCTCTGCCCGTGCTGACTCCAGCATCTGTGCAACGGAGGTAGACAGAGTGGGGGTGCCTGCCTCGTGCCTCCTGGGGCGGAACAGTGCCTTTGGGCATCCGTTCCGTGTCTCTTTCGGGGAGCTTCCCGGGATTTCTCCGACTACTGCACAGTCGATTCATACAGAAAACCGACCACGGTGTCGCCACGCTGCGAGTTTCAGTGACTTGCACGCACCTTGCCTCAGTTTACCTCTCCGGTGTATCGTTATCTCAGCCACAGTTTCAGTGACGCTCCAGACACTGCTCCGGTTTCTGTTTCAACCGGCAAATGTGACTTGATGTCACCTGAAATAGAGCTTTTTTGCGCTCAACAATGGGCCTCTCCGTAGCTGCCTTTTGAGCTGGGTGTTGGGTGCTCAAACATTCAGAAGCGTAATAATGAAGATGCGTCTGAGGGTTTCATGGGTTGATCTGGTTGGGTCCATGCAGCTCCTGACTCTGCAGCTGCCGAAGGACTCACCGCCTTCCCGTGCTCATCTCTGGCCAACGTCAAAGGCCCTGTAATTTACATAGATTCAGAAAAAAATGCTTACAGGTTCCATTAAGAATGTTTTCGACTTTCTGCTGTGTGTAGGCAAGTGTAGGTTTCTACCGCTTGGCGCGATTGCGTGATTTTGCGGGTGGCTTTTCCGTATTTCTTTTTAGGGTCATGAGCATGCCCGACACCACAGCAGGGACCCGGCCTGCCTTTCTGCACAACCACATATTGGGAGCTCTGTAATTTATTTCCCAGGAAAACGTTCAGAGACGTCAACCATCCTTGAGGTCAAGAGAATCCGCATCATTACCCGAGACGCCGAGGGAGAATTCCCTGGAGTTGAAATTCGATAGGTATGAGAAATTCTTATTATTTCTGCACCAGCAATGCATTTCCGTAACTGACGGACCAGTCACTGCTGGAAGAAGCCAAGAAGCAAATGTTTTAGGCCTGAGGAAGCTGAGAGCCAGCTTCCCTTGCGGGCTAAGAGCGATCGTAATTAATGCACACGAGTCGCTGACAGCCCTATACTGGATCATTTCCACCAGCCTGGAAATATTGTCCTTGTGCTGATGTCCATGCACAAGCATTATGGCAACACCGTGACAACGGTGTTAGAATAATGCACACACGTTGCAGCAGCCCAAGGAAAACATCACTGTTCCAGCGTGCAAACACAGCTGCCATGCAAATGCACCCCGAGCCTGTGGGACGCCTCGAAGTCCCATACGGGACTTCATGAAAGCATCTTGTGCAAATGCTACTTTCCTGGGGAAACGCTCCCAACACGGCATTAGCGGGAGAAAAGCAAAACAGAAAACACAAGAGGGTTTAAACCGTCTTCTACACTATGTCCCATTTTGTACAAAAAGGAGAGAAGATGAAGAGGGCCTGAAGAAAACGCCTGGAAAGGAGACGAGAATGCCTCTCGAATGCTTTTCATTGGCTTTGTGTGCGCCCTTCACAATGACTATTATTTTTAGAACAGGAAACGTTACCTTGGAACGTGTTTTTTCTAAAAAAGAAAAAATTCTGAAGCTGCTTCTGATGACAAAGGATCCCGGGAGCCGGAGTGGTTAGAGCCGGTGTGTGGCTGTCAGCTCAGCCGTGTCTGCTGGGTCCCGGGTGCAGCAACCGAGCCCCTGGTCTCTGATGCCTCTGTAGGGCTGCGGACACGAAGGGGAGGAATTCCCTCGCCACAGAGGCTGCCATCAGCTCGTCTCGAGCACTGGGCCACGTCTTTCTAGCATTTTCCCTGCGTGATCTCGTTCAACTTTGAAAACAGTCGTATGGGATGAGCGCTGATTTTCACCCCAGGGTTCCTCAGGGTTCTTTAGAGAGACACGGCAGATAGGTATCGGAGAGATGGAAACGTTGATAGATTGATGGAAGGCTGTATGAGTGGATGGATAATGGATGGGTGGATGGATGGTGATGGAGGATGATGGATGTTGGATGGGTAGATGGATGGATGGATGATGGATGGATGATGGGTGGATGGATGATGGGTGTGTGGATGGTGGATGGATGGTTGATGGTTGGATGAATGGAGGATGATAGATGGTGAATGGGTAGATGTATGGATGTATGATGGATGGATGATAGATGATGGATGGATGGAGGATGATGGGTGGATGGAGGATAATGGATGGGTGGATGGTTGGATGATGGATGGGTGGGTGGATGGATGGATGGATGGATGGTTGGATGAATGGAGGATGATGGATGGATGGTGGATGGATGATGGGTGGATGGATGATGGGTGGATGGATGATGGATAATGGATGGATGGATGGTGATGGAGGATGATGGATGGTGGATGGGTAGATGGATGGAGGGTGGATGGATGGATGATGGGTGGATGATAGATGATGGATAGATGGAGGATGATGGGTGAATGGAGGATAATGGATGGGTGGATGGTTGGGTGATGGATGGGTGGGTGGATGATGGGTGGATGGATTGATGGATGGATGAGGGATGGATGATGGTGGATGATGGGTGGATGGAGCATGATGGATGGTTGGATGATGGATGGTGGATGGGTGGCGGGTAGATGGGTGGAAGGATGATGGGTGGATCAATGGATGGACTGATAGGTGTATGGATGGACAGGTGGATGGCCGGATGGGCACACGATGGATGACTGATAAACAGGTAGGTAGGACCCAGGTATCGGCGGCCACCAGGAAGAAGCTTTCTCACGTGGTCAGGAAAAGACTAAGAAACTGCTGCCAGCAGGAATGTGGGGCCCCGGGGCCACTTAAATGCTTCCAGCTGAACCCCAGTTGCACCAAGATGCCCAGAGCCCCCTGGAAGTGGCAGCTGGACGCTCTGGCCAAGTTGTAGCAGAGGAACGAAGAAGTTGCACACACCCGGCTGGCGAGACGCAGGGACGGCCATGTGCACGGGCCCCCCGGGGAGCGAAGAGCGGGGCCCCTGGCGGGAGCGGGGGGACGCAGGGGTGCTACCAGCTCTGCCCGCTGCAGCTCTGCAGGCTGCAAACACGCCCAGCCTCCTCCTCCTTGGGCGCCAGCTGAATTCCTCCGGCTGCAAAAACTTCCTGCATAATTTATAGGTTTTCACACTTAAAATATCACTCGCAGCAACACGGGCTCCGGAGGCGGCAGGCGGGAGAAGCTCTCACCTCGGCGCCCGGCAGGTGGCCGCTCTCTGCACCTGCCCTCTCGCCGCCTGTCCCCTTCCTCTGCAGAGGACCATACTGTGTTTTCACGGATACAGTACGGATCAGCGGGCTGTTTGCTGCATCAGTGGGAGCCGCAGGGAGCGACGACCAGCGCATGACCAGGGACCCCGGTATTCTCCACGCCGAGCCCCCCCGGACTGGCGCGTTTGCGGAAGGATCCGCGGCGCCCCAGAGGAGACAGACGACGCCACAGGTGACCGCCGACTTCCCGGTCTCCCGTGCACGGGGACACAGCTTGTCCCCAGAGCTCCCTGCGATGCCGGGGTCCGCACTCAACGGCGTCACCCACTGAATTCCAGGGCCGTCGTCGCCCCGGGCGTGGGGGCCGGTCAGGGTGGCCAGGGGTCCCCAGGCCTAGCTCTGTTTGCTTAAGGTCTCATAGTGGGGACATACAACAGACCCTGTCGCCTAAGAACAGCTCCGCACCCCATCAGAGCATCGTAGGTCTTCCTGATGCAGGATCCCGTCCTGCAGACGTTCAGCCAGGACCCCAGCCGTGGCCAGGAGGACTCTGGCGTCCCTGACCACATCCACTTCCGCTCGAGCCACTTCATACGTGGGTCTCACAGTTGGCCCTTCAGCCCACGTCGCTCATCAACGGCCACTTCGCACGCACCTCTCATGCCTTTTGTCAAAGACCGTGGCCGGAAGGATTTGTTAAACCAGATGAGACTCTCTGGTGTTTGTCCATGTCCTTGAGACTATTTCACTTTGCATTATCCTCTTCAGGCTCATGCATATTGCAGTAAAAGGCAAGAGTTCGTCCTTTTTGATGGCTGAGTAGTATTCCACTGTGTGTGTGTG